GGATTATCGGAAGTTATCCTTCTTCAAGAGTTTCAAGGGTCAAAACTCCAGGAATAATCCCACGTTCTTTTAGTCGGAAAGGCTACCTTATTATCGGAAGAAATTTGCGTCTGAGATTTGTGGGGGTGTTGATTGGAAGAGCTCATTATCAAAAGTTTACGGTGTTGTATTCTGGATTAATTGATTCGAGTCATTACCTTCTATATAGCCACAGCTGGCTATAAATCTAAGCTCCCCACTTCTGTTTTCTCTAGGTAAGTTGAATTCAGACCACAAGTGTCTTCAGTGCTGTCTGGCGGTTTTCAAGAGGGGTATTATCTCTCGAAAGGAACCAAGTTTCGGCATCTATTTTATTCCATGTGACAAGTTTCACTTGGTAAGCTACCTCTTTTAACGATGCGTTAAAATGTAAAAATAAATAAATAAAATAACTAAATAAATACATAAATACATAAACAAATAACGGTCGTGTGGACGGGTTGTGTGGATAATCAGATAATTAAAATAATTTGTGAAAGTGTTTAAGACAACTTCTAACTTGAAGTAGTACTAGTAAATCCTTAGTTATAAAAATAGGCGCCATATTGGTGCATGTGACTACTGCAAAATGCAAAAAGTAGAACTGACCCATGTATGTAATGTGGATAAGAATGTATGCAAATGGTTAGGTAATGAATGTTGTTGATGCGAGGCATTATTGAATGCTAAAAAACCACTGTTAAAGAATGATTAAATTTGCCCAAAAGAGGAAAAACGAAGTGGTTGTTACCAGGCCATTTTCAATGCATTAAAATTCTAACATAGCAAGAGGTTTAGGGGAAGAAAACAAAATAAATTAATTATTCATTCCTCAACCTTAAAGCGATTTCTTTTGTTGTATTCTGCCAAGTCTCCGCGTTAGAATTTTATACATCAAAAATGGCCTGTTAGTACATGTGGGCGTTGCCAGTGTAAAAAAAATTACAAAATCAAGTGTAAAATTATCAGCAGTGCATGATGTATGGTGCATGAGAAGTAGTCAGTAAAGAAACATGATCAGACAATTAGAAACTTTTTTTTCATATTTTAATGAACTGATGACTGACAAGATTTATAGTAAACAACCCAATGAGAATGGTACAAATCAATTAGCAAAAATGCTGGAGATGATTCAGAGTACACGTATTATGGCAGAAGTAAAGGTAACTTTTGCTACAGCCAGCACTACAGGGATGAGTAGGTGAGTGAGTGAGTGAGTAGGTGGGTGGGTGGGTGAGTGAGTGAGTGAGTGAGTGAGTGAGTGGTGGGTGGGTGAGTGAGTGAGTGAGTGAGTGAGTTGAGGCAAACACTCTGGGCAGGTGCCTCATTGTGATTACAAGTACCTTTTTTAGCTAAAATAGTGATAACAGTTACACCAGTGAGTAAGAGTAACAAGAGCCTTGAGGCCGTGAGGTACAAAGCAGCACTCTACAGTGAAATATCAAGCCTCGTTTTTATGTCCAACCATTCGTCCTCACTAAATCCCTCAATAAGTTGTTTTGCTGTAGTCAACCATTTTGACTTCTCTCAATTCTCAAGTTGCACCATTTCAGAGGCATGTGTTGATGATTCAGTAAAGCCAAGTAGCCAGCCACACACCCAAAAATATCCTGGATCTACCCCTGCAATTTAATCACAGAACAACTTGGTCAGATCTTTTTAAAAGAAGTTGTCATATCCTTACTTTGTATATCTAGTAGTAAAGAGAGCAAAACATATTGAATGCATCGTTTAACAATTCAATTGGTTTTTGGTTTTCTCCAGAGACTATTAACAGAGTAAACAGACAAAAAATAGATCACGTGTACTAAATGCATCTGGTTGAGTGTCCATCGATACCCTCAATCAACCTGTAATTGACACTCGATCAAAATCTTGATCGACACTCAATCGACATCCCAGCTGATATNGACCGGTCGACCAACCTTACTTAATTTTAAGTAAAAAGTAATTTACCTTTTTTCCAATAGCGAGCGTGTTATGTTTTTAAAGTTAAAAAGTTTTGTCATGTTTCAGCTGTCAACCTTTAATGTACAACATATTTTGGCTAGAAGTGAGGAAAGACTCTTTCCTGGTGCCTGCATCAAGCTTGCCATTAAATACAATGGGCTGCAAAACACACTTCACGAAGACAGAGTGAAGATGACCCTAGTGACTGGAAAAGCAAAATTGCTCATTATTATTCCAACCAAGGTATGGTTTTCTCTCTGGTTTATAGGTGGTGGGCACGTGAAAAGAGCATCTACCAAAGAGGCCCCTTATTCTTACAATAATTTATTCTTAAAAGAGATGATCATATTTATATTCACTATTCTAGTGTGGCTGTTTGGATGTCAAAACGTTGAGAAATTTTGATACATGTACGTTTCCCGAGTTTAAATTGAGGACTGCATTTTAGTATAAACTATAAGATACTATAAACTGTCTGTATAATAATTTTTATAACATGTCAGTTTGACATAAAACTGAGAACATTTTTGTAACAGACATTTATTGAATTTATGTATCCATGATCCCTACACATGGTGGAAAGTTATTCTTGACTGATATACACTCAATTTCTTCACTTTTAGTCCAATACGCCACTTATTCACCCTTTGCAGCAAGACTACTCAGGTATATCATGATACATTCTAGCTGTCATAAGACAAAAGATGTTTCCCCAAATGTTTGTTAGTTTGAGGTTTGTAAAGTTAAGTTAGCCTCTCTGTCACCATTTTGTACAACTAATAACCATTATATTTTGTCATTACAAATGGCTTTCTTTCCCCTAATCTAGAACCATAAGCATGGCTAGGTGATTGACCGACTCTTCACTGATACCACTTTACAAGTACAGTGGGACCCGTTAATCCAGTCACCAATGGGCCACAAAAATCTGGCTGTATTAATGGGTGGCCGTATCAAAGAGGTTCTACACAGAAAGAAAGTGACTGACTAAGCTTTTTTCAGGCCAGAATAAAGTGGCGCTAATAACGAGGTGGCTGTATTAACGGGGTGAAAAATATTCTTTATGAACCTTAGTTGGCTAGCTGAGGCAATATGTCAAAGCAAGACTATCAGAAAAATCCAAATCGTGGAGAGCCTCCTAACAATTCATACTCGACTGATTACCACCATGAAAAGGGTCTTTTAAGTTTGACTTGATAACTAATGCAAAATTTAATATCTATTTATGATAGCCCATGGACATGTTGAATTTTTATATACCCCCCTCCAAATAAATTAAACGTATTTGACAGCTGTGCTTTTTGTTTCCCAAATAACAGTAACTGGAATGCCAACACTGGACAGAGAAGCCTTGCGTAGCTGTCACGTGGATCTAATTGAAAATATTGATGATCTGTCATCTATATGTGCCTACCTTTATCAGTACAACATCTTAACTGCTAATGATAAAGCATTTCTGAAATCTTTTCAACACCCAGCAGAGGCAATTGACCAATTGTTAACGATGATTCCAAAAAAAGGGAACATTTTGAATATTTTCATCTACATTTTGCAGCAGTCACGTGGAAATCAAGAGGCTGCAAAAATTTTGGTTCAAAAGTATTTGGGAATTGCAGAGAGAAAATAACAAAAAAAATAGATTTTCTAATGCCAGGGGAGTCTTTGTATTGTTTTGTTAATGTACACTCATAAGCATTGAAGAAGTTCTTTCACTTCGGGTTTTTTATGAGTTTGTTGAACTAGCAGATACCATGATGTCAGCATAGCTTTAGTCACTTTGTTTAAACAGAGATCTGGCAATAAAGCTCCCATTGATAAAAATGGCCTACTAAGTGTCTGCTTGTCTGTTTTCTGACACCTGTTTCCTTAATAGATTTTTTTTCAAGTGAAAATAGTAGCTTGCAGAATCTCATAAAGGTAGGGGAGATGTACACATTGTGGATTAAAAGGATAGTGATTTGTATACTTTTTTCTGACAGGCTGTGTAATTAAATCTCTGCAGAACTGGTAATCTGTAGAATTAATAGTTTAGAAGTAAAATCAACAAACAACATCTGAAAAAAAAATACTAAAAAAGGAGTAGAATGATTAATTTTTAAGAACTGAAATTTAAGTGCTACATAAATTTCTTCCTTTAATACTTTTAGTGTCACACAAATTGAACTCAAAGGGTTTGTGAGTGAACCCAGCAAATCAATACCTTCTATTACTATAGTAAGAACCCACATGTAAGAACCCACATTTAAGAACCAAGAGGTTTAAGAACCTGCTGGCAGGAATTTTCCATCTAAAAACCCAAAAATGTAAGAACCTGTTTAGCCAAGTAAGATCAAGCTGGTCCCTAAATGGAGGTTACAGCTTTTTATAGCGACAACACTACATATACACAGTTATGTTAGACTTATCATAATACAGTTGTGAATAAATGCTGTAAATTTAATTAAGGATGAAACCCAAGTTTATTCATTTTTCTGGTAATTAACAACTACATCTCCTTCGTAGAAATTAAGAACCTACTTAGCCGAAATTGCCAATAAGTGCCCCAAAATACAAGAACCTATTTAGCCAGACTTCAAAAAATGTAGGTTCTTACACGCTGGTTTTTACTGTATTATTAGGAAGGTTGCTATTTGTTTGTCAAGATTTAGGAGGAACTATACAATCTATACAGATGACTTAACTACAACTGAATAATGACGTTGGTGATGGCTTCTTGTTTTTGCTCCTCAAGGTTGGGAGTTGTACCATTCATATCTGAGTTATGACCCCCTTCTGAAAAAAGAAATACTAGTAATGAAACAGTAGGCTGTCAGTTTAGATTATGTGCATGAGTGACCAATGAAAGGAAAATCAGTGAACACCTGGTGCTAGGGGCTTAATGAACTTTATTGGAGGTGGTCATGAATTCTTGTCAGAAATGGTTATGTTATTTTCTTCCTGGAACAAATTTGTCACATAAAATATAGTTTTTTTTACATTTTGATTGTGATTCATACTACTTAGCACAGTGGTTTGGCTACTTACACAATTCACAATCGTGACAAAACTACTTAACCTTGGATGTTATATGAAAATGTTGAGATTGAAAAGGTAATAGTAAGAAAGACACTAGTGTCTCTGATTAATTAACATCTTTCCAACATTTTTTGTCATATCCTCATTCTATTTAGTGGCATTTTATTTATAACTTTCAACATAATGAAAGCAGAAGACTATAGACCAACTCAAATTATGTACTCATGTCTTTGATTCCTTTAACAGCATTTAACAGCATGGCACTCTTAGTGGCAACTCACCATTTATCATATTCGGGATCACATTTAGCTTCATGCACAAAGTTGGATCCTGAAACAAAAAAGGTTATATTTAAAATGTAAAGGTTACGTTATCATCTTTGATCTTATACATAATTAGTGATACTTATTAATTACAAATACACAGCATGTACAGCTAAATTGGCAGTGATTAATCATATGAAACAAGTTAATATTTAGTAAATTGGCAGTCATTATTCAATGAAACAAGTTAATATTTAGTAAATTGGCAGTCATTAATCATATGAAACAAGCTAATTTACCTGTTTGATAGCAGTACTGGCATACATCACAGTTTGGCTAGAAGACTGGGTTAACACAATCGTGACAAAGAAGGTGCTGTTCCCTTCAAAACTTGTGGTATTGAACATTAGATCACACTGGGGAATCAGATGGAATGAGTTCAGCAATGATGTGTAGCTGAATTTCTAGACAAAGGCAGAAAAAAGGACACATTTGAATAAGGTTCCCTTCAAACACCCAAAACTGGATGTGACCTAAAACCAGGGTTGGTAATTAGAGTTTGCCCACTCGCCAGTGCGAGTGTGAAAAGCATCAGGGGAGTATAAATCATCCATCGCTCACCTGTTTGGCAAGTACGATTTTCATTTTTGGGAAATTAGTTAAGCTTATATATTGATAACCCTCCTTTTATATTCGCCATTTTGGTAAGAATATCTCTGAATGAGAACTTATCGTTGCTTTTTTACCTTTTTTATCTTCTGAGATGCCCAAATAATTTGCCCAAATGTCCTGATTCTAGGGACATGTGAATTCGATAGTGCCAGCTGTTCATTAAGCTGTTCTTCAGTTAAAACAACAGAAATCATTAATGAGGAAAATTTACAAGGAGTGTCAAAAGTTGCTGATAAAAATGAGGATAAACAGTAAAATCAATCCACGATCCTAATGAGGTGTGTGGTAAATGGACCAGAACAAGAAAGCTCAATGCAAAATGGCACTGAAGCTGGGCATTTGTGATTGATACCGAAAAATGCATGATTTGTGAATGATTGTGGAGATTTTTAGGGGGAGGGGAGGCATCTTTCTGGGCAATACAAGCGAAAACTACACTGACAAATGAATTTTGAGAGTGACTCGCCTGAATGGCGAGTGCTGTCAAAATTTAGTTTCCAACACTGCTAAAACCTAGACCGCAGCATGAGCCTTTAGTACAGAGGACAATCTAAAAGAATATATAAGTGCTTTTACTATGTTCTTTTACTTTACTATGGCTTTCCCTAAACAAACACTGACTAATAAAAAGACTGTTGCAAGTTAGTTAGGAAGTGCTCCCTGCTGAATGTTATATAGTTGTTCAATGGAAACAAAACATTTTCTATACAATACCATTGGGCAAATGCTTCCTATCTCCAGACCATCAACATCCTTGACAACTATTTTCACATCTTCTTCACAAGTGACAGAAAAATCAAAAGATTCAATTGAGGACATGAGCTTTCCTCCTTTCTCCTGCTCCTTTTTCATTAGCCTCTGTGGTTGAGAGAGAATGACAAATGAGTCAGCAATAACAGCTATTTACAAGTACCAAACTACACTGCCTTCCTCCTTTGCAAAACAAAATAATCTTCCGAATCACTCCTGACCGTTGTTCATTTGTATGTTACGTCACTGGAAGTTGTGAAGTGGCCTGGCAGCCAGCCACAGTGTCATAATACATGCTATCTTTGTTACTTGGCGGTTTACAAAATTTATAATTTTTTGATACCCAAAGTAACACAAATTTTCTTAGACAGTCCAGATTTTAACACCTACATCTTTGATCTACATGTGCTTGATTTTTATCATGCCTGTGAAAGTAAGGTCTTTTGCAATGTTTTATATAGTTTAAGAGCAGCACATACCATCAAATGAGATATATTTCATTTAGACGTACTGTGCCACAGAGGTGTGAAAGCTAGATTTACAATGTATTTAGCTTTCTGTTCTCAAAAGCTTACCTCAAAGGACCATTCACAATCATCAAAACAGTACAGCCTCACAACAAGGTCTTTGCCAACTCCAGTCTCACTACAGAATGCCATAACTTTCATCCTTTTAAATGCTGACAAAGAATTGTTATCACAATATCCAANCTGCGAACAGGCTCCCGGTGAGCCCGAACGAAGCCCCGATCGCTTTGCTCTCCGAATTCTTCTGTTTCGTCCTCGCCGAAATTTTTTTCCGTCCTCGCCGGTAGCCTGTTCGCAGGCTAACTGGGCTTTGTAAATTTGCGCAAAACATTTCGACGAATATCCGAAGTTTGGGAAAACGCGAAGACCCAAAACTTGGAGAAATGTCTTCTTTACCTGTCTCCTATAACATTACAATTTCTTGACTTTATCCACTGAATAGTTTTCGATTTATTTTTTCGTTTCGTAACAGTGGAAACCATCTATTCGTGGACTTCGGTCGGATTCGTACCCAGGTTCCAGATGGTTTACAAGAAAATCATCCGTCATGCGCAGAAGGTCACTCAAAATCGAAAGTAAAATGGCGGACGGAAATGTGAGTCTTTCGAATTTGCTCCAAAAAACGCAAGAATTGATAACGCTGGGAACATCACAAGCAATCGTTCTTCAGAAAAAGTATCGAAGATTTGTTCTACACAATCCAGAGACCATTTCGAAGATCGAGTCTGTTTTGCGTGCGCTGTCGTACATTCTTTCCGGACGGTTTGGAGCTTCAGAAGCATTGTCGGAGCTCGTGTTTTCAGCCTCACAGCTTCTTACTCTGTTAAACGATGGGATATTTCGTGAAGGGAAAAGCAAGGTTACCTGTGATGTGACTTGTGTTAAACGACACCGCATCTTGTTATGGTTGACTGTGGTTGAATATTTAGAAGTGTTTATTGAGTTGGGTGCAAGCCGCTTGTGGGGAGAAGCAGGCAAATGGATCATTGTCGTCATTTTGCAGATCGCAAAGGCAGCTTTGAGATTCGTCCTGCTCTTCAAATATAAATCGGGCGTTCAGAGGACGCCTCTCATTCCTCCCCTTGACCGATCTAACCTCTTGAAGCGAGAGGAAGCAGTTGACGAAGATGCAACAAATGCCGGAAGTGGGGAAGAGCTAGAAGAAGCACAGCCCGAAGAAGAAGACGAACAAACCGACGCTGTTCCCGCGGGGTCAGTTTGGAGAGGTGCTCGATCAGGAAGACTTGTAAGGTCCCTAAGTGCTACATCGAGTGGCTCCTCGCGTTCTTGGAAGCTCCCAAAGGAAACTTCTGAATCAAAAAGAGTATTTCAACCAACAGATCTGTCCAACAGAAGACTGTTCGCAGAAAGTCTGTACATCTGCAGACCTCTGATCCACATCACAAGTATGTTTGTGTTTGGACAAGCTTCATGGAAACCTTGGTTGCTTTCTTGCGGAGTTGATGTGACATCATTAGCAGCTATGGGTGACTCAAGCGACTTCAGTGAAGAGGAAAGATCAGAGTTGTCAAGAAGAACACTTCTTCTTCTGTTTTATCTTTTGAGGTCTCCATTTTATGATACCTACTCAAAAACAAGGATTCTTGGTTTCCTGAAGTTCATGAGTGACACTGTTCCAGGATTATCTTTTGCACTCAATCCATTGTTAGACTACCTTCCAACATGGCAGAAGATTTATTTCTACAACTGGAGTTCCTAGAATTCTTAAGAGGTTTGACTTGGAGATGGAGCAAAGGCAAGTTTGCATGTACATTTTCCAACTATTATGTATGACTGGGCCCAAATTTGTTGAGAAAATGACTTTGTGGTTAAACATTGGCCTGATTTATAATAATCTGTTAAAGTAATGTTTATGTTTTTAGTACTACTAAGGCAAAGAAAGGTCAGCCAATTGATTGGAATGACAAATTGTATCATGTTAATCTACATGTACCGTAAACCATTGTGATGTAGATCACAGCATTTTAACTGTATACTGCTACCCTCACTAGACAATGAGGTTAAGTGTTTACCTGTCACAGTGGAAGCCTGTTAATCTGGTCACCAATGGGCCACAAAAATTTGGCCATATTAACAGGGTGGCTGTATTAAGGGTTTCTTGAAATATGAAAATGACTGACTGAGCTTTTGCTCTGACTGGAATAAAGTGGCCATAACAATGAGGTGGTCGTATTGATGAGGTGGCCGTAAGACGGGGTTCCACTGTATCCACCAAGAACTGGTTGGTTTTCAACAGCTCTGATTGGTGCATTTAGATCCTCTCTGTTTCAGTGAGTCGTTTCCTCAACAAGGGAACCACAATTAGCTTCTTAATTCGTGGAAAAACATGCTAATGATTAAATGGAAGAACAGAGAAACTGAAGCAGTAATATTTTTATGCTCTATGTTAGTTATAAGAATTAGAAACAGATTAGTATATTTTAATCAAGAATTGCTTGGCTGATACATGTATATGATTACAGATGAATTTTCTTAAGAATAAGTATGTTGCTGACTTCTTAGTTCAAGTGACTGCCTGGCTTGGGATTCAGTGAAGAAATAATTTAATTCTTGAATCATGGATAAGACAGAAGTTGTGTTTAGTTTTCGAAATAGATGCAGTGGCCTGACCAGGTACATGTACATGTGCTAGCTGGGTCACTGTTCAAGATTATGTGTTCTTCAGCATACAACTTCACACTTGCAATGCTACTCTCCATGCAGAAGCAGAAATGGGTACCAGCAAACTTTTACGGCAAACTAACAAAATGCTGAGGTTTCTCATCCAGGGGGAGTATCATCTCTCCCAGGCACTTTATGCTATGGATTACCTTCACTTTTCCAAGCAGTACTCTGAAATAATACGATCCAGATGAGCCTTGCTTTGATGGAATATGCCCTGAGAATGTCTACATGTACATGTATTGGAAATTAATCAAGTGAGCTGTAATTCTGATAAATACGGGAATACCTTCTGAAAGATTCTTTCAGAGCCCAGTGGCAAGAGAAAGTGGTGTTTACTGACTGTCCAGGAGTACTCTGCCTGGATGGGGTACTGGTCTACTCTAAGGAATTTCCCAACTTGGGTTCATTAGCTACTCTTAAATCAAGGACAGAAAGGACCTTTAAATTGATACAGTAAATTATTGAGCTTTATTGTTTAATACAACTCAGAAGCTGCCATGTAAATTAACAACATTCATAGGAAGTTATAAATAGAGCACTTGTTTATGCAGCTAATTATAATGTGATTGCTTTTAAAACTTAGTCATTATGGTGGCTTTTGTGTTAAATATCTGTTGTATTGAATAGTCAACTGCTACATATAAACACACACCTTCAATTAGTGGACTCTCAGTTATGCTCCTGGCCACAGGAATTAAAGGAGTCTGAGCTGAGCTTTTAGTAGTCTTTGGCGTGTCCGCTTATTGCAGGTTTTGTGCAACAAAATGGCATAATATTGGTGTCTGTGTCCGCTTAACAGAGGTGTCCACTGAATGCAGGTTTATTTTACAGTAAATGGGAGAAGGACATTTAGGGACTCAAGCTGGTGTCCACTTAATAGAGGTTGTCCATTTAATACGGGGTCCGCTAATTACTATAGGTTTCACTGTAGTTTTAAATATGGCACAGCCAAGTTGGCTGTTAATCTAGTTTTTGATAGGTACAGTGTACCATAATGTTTTATAGCAACTGCAAATTTGAAATGAAAATTCTAAAAGTAGGCAGTCTACTAATCACTAGTACTATTGTGATTTCCCTTGGAATTGTGTGTCAGGGATGGGGGAAAGGGGATTAATTTAGAGTAACAGACTATAGGTAGTAAATATATACAATAAGTAAAGCTCATAAAAGGCATCAGCAATTGTTATAATAGTTACAAATAATATTTATTAAACTTAATTACATTTTATTTACTCTGTCCTGAATCAGTTACATGTGTATGATGAGGGTCTTGTTAACATCCTTAATATAGTAGTGCTTTGATTCTCACAGCTTCATTTTTTCCTCTCTATAACCAAAACTTGACATCCACTGTACATTATTGCATTTGTTATCCAAAGTTTTGGAAGTGAGTAATGTTAGAAATATTTGTATGTGGAGAGGTCAAAAGCTTCTCCGATGTCCAGTGCCATGTTTAACGTTGAACAACAGCCATCATTAACTGAGGAGCTCGATAAAATCATGTTGCCAGAAATGCGCTTTCTTCTTTGTTGCATCATGCCATTGGCATCCATTCCCATTTCTTTCAAAGATTAGTTCCCTGTTGTTTGAAAATTTGATTGACACGGATCTAGGATTTATGAATTAAATTAAATAAATTTAAAGTGCTTTCCATTGCTAATGTTTTAGTTAATATAAAAACTGGAGGATACGTAATATAAACCGCAAACCTCTGAAAAGTTATAAAAACTGAAATCCCAATTCTGGGATTAGCTTCATCTTGATGGCCCTTAAATCTTTACCCTTCCCCAGAATGAGCCCAACACGAATAAAGGCTCTCTCCTCTCTAAAAGAGGGTTGAAACCTTCGCTTTAGAAAGCCGCCGTGCGAGGTGAGTGCAGGCGCAAAGTCGAATGGGTCTGTCCTCCACGTAACCCTGCGCCTGCACTCAAGTTGTTCAGCGGATTCTTGCCACCCGGGAATACCCCTTGAGCCTCAGCAGAGGAAGGAGTTATACTGGGACAAGTAGAGAGCTCCTGGGGGAGGGTGTCAAGAGGATGCCCTCAAGGCTCTGCATTTGGCCCATTATTATGGAACATTTTCCAGAGTGATTTAACTTGTCACATTAGTACACACCTTAGCATGTATGCAGATGATCACCAGTTCTATGATATGAGCAGTAAATACCTCTTGCTAACCGAGTTCAAGGTCCGTACTGTAAGTTACGGACCGAGTTTTTTCCCTTTCGATTTATGTCCCAAGTGCGAAGCGCGCGGGTCATAAATCGAAGGGGAAAAAACGAGGATCCGTAACTTACAGTACGGACCGAGATGACAAGGTTAGTAAGAGATTTATTATATCTCTACTGTGATCTTGACGGGTTCGGAAACGATTTCTATTCAGACGGACTCGGAAAGGCTTCAAATTTCTGACGCACCTCGAAAGCAAAACGAGTCAGTTTGACCTGTCAGTTAAGTCGTTAGCACGCTTTATTACATAATTTAGAGTATAAGAAAGTTTTAAACTTTCACTCGCTATAAAAGTTAAGAACACTTATTGATAAATAACGAAACAGTTTGGCAACAAAACCAACTTTAAATTTTAGCGGGCCGTACAGAAGAGTACGGCCTGCTAAATTGACCAATCACAGCCCGCGTACTAACTGAGAGATATAATAATATAGAAGATGTTCAAGCTAATCTGACAGTAAGTGCTAAGTGGCTTCCAACCTTAACACTTGGTAGAAAACGCAACTTAACTCTATAGAATTTTCATTGATGCAGAAGAAGTTCAATCCACTGATTGCCTGAAACTGCTTAGGGTATCCATAGACAAAGATTATTAACACTATTTACAGGAAAGGAAGCCAACGTGTAGTAGTTCTAAGACGTCTTCTAATGAGACTGAGGAACTTAATACCCACTAGCACTAAGCTGAACCTGTTCAAAGCTGCCATTCTACCTTATTTAACTTACTGTCACCTTGTCTGGCATTTCTGTCGTGCTAATGACAGAAGAAAATTGGAAAGAACAAAGGAAAGGCACTCTATTGCTATTTACCGTGACAAAATGTCCAGCTATCACAGATTACTAGATATAGCAGATCTATGCACTCTACAAAACAGAAGGCTGCAGGACTTAGCTATTCTCATGACATGTACAAGGTTAAGAACAAAATATGCCCCAAGTATATCGCTGGCCTATTTCGAGTATCCGAGAAGGAATACGCCTCGGGAAATAATGAATATTTTACCCCTAGATTTAGTACATAATAACATATGGGAAGCACACTATCAGATATACTGCGACTAAGTTATGGATCTTATACCAAGGAGTATTAGAAGTTCACCGACATTGTCAGCTTTTAAGAAAAGCATTCGCAAACTTGACTAGGATAGTTTGACTTGTAGTTGTGTTAGTAATTGCACTTTATCTTCTTAATGGCTTTTATGTAATTTTACTGATCTTAGTTATGCATTTTTATCTTATTTATATTTTTATATTGTAAAGATCTTTGATCAGCTTTTTAAACATAATATTAGATCTTGTTATTTTAATCTTTTATGTCAGTTTAAGTTTCCCCATTTAGTGGTTTTAAAACTGCTATTTTAGCCTGACACTTTTATAAAGAGAATTTTAAAAAGGAGGTGAACCTCAGACCCAAAAATCCTGCCATTAACAGATCTTATTAAGCCCTCGCGCACATAAACCCATTGGCTTATATTTAGTTTTAGCTCTTAAAAATATTATGAATTAAAGTTCTTTTGACTATTAAGACCTCCACTGATCTCTACTGTTGGGTTGTTTGCTACTAGATGTCTTATTTTGACGGGATAATTGCCGGAAGAACATTTGGCCAGTTATGACGTCGCATTCTTCTGCACAAGGAGTATCGCAATAGCTTCCGCGTGTCTCTTGTTTATCGTTCCTTTGCTCAAAAGTCGGTCTCTGTCCAAACAAACAGAGGTTGTTCAGTTGTTGGAACGCTCCATGTGCGACAAGGAAACAGTCGTGGGTTATATAGGTATGTGCGGCACCAAACTGGCCCAAAGGGTATGGTTTTTCAGCCGTTTTGGTCATAAATAGGGTATCGATTTTGGCCATTTTGGTCTTAAATAGGGTAAAGTTTTAGCACTCTGGTCTTGAATTGGGTATGTTTGTTAGAAGACGCTACTTTTTCATCATTATCAATAGGACCGTTAACAAAAGCCCTTCATAACTTATGCTTAGGGCAACTGTGCCAGCCGCAGTGGTCATAAATAAGGTATCAAATTTTTGGCCAGGTCATAAATAGGGAAGCAAAAATCGCAGATTTTGGTCATAAATAGGGTAAGGGTTTTGAAAAGTGGGCCGCACACCCCAACCCAACTTTTCTGGGAGTACCTCCGGGGTTTTTAGGGAAACTGGACATAAGATCAAGCAACTCGCGGTTTTCATTGCGTTGAATTGGTACGGTTTTTTTTTTCCAATTAAAAGTTTGACTTCTTGTAAGTGCTACACGATAAAGCAGTTAAAACGCTTGCTATTTGTATAAGTAGCGACCATGAGCTCCTGTAGCGACATATTACTGTATAGAGAGTTAAGATTTTAAGAAAAACTATTAGTTAAGGATTTTTCCCGTATAACATTATAATAAATTATTTCTAACTCGCGGGTGAAATAAAAGTTTTTGTTGTCGTTGTCGTGTCGTCATACTGCTATGGGCATTTTTAAAAAAATTTGGTCATTAGTTAACCGGCTTTCACTGAGCTACATACCATAGTGCTCCAATCTAGTGCCTTAGTGACTGTAAGAGGCCTCCTAAATTAAACACCACTCAGTCAAGAGATTTTTTATAAAATCGTAATGAGTTGATTAGGGCTCTCTTACCAATAAACACCTTGTAATGAGCGCTGCAACTTTAATGTCGTAAGTTTTAATTATCGCTCCTCGTCCAATAGGCGCCTCCTACAAATAGACTGATTAGACAAGTGAATTATGTATATTCGGCTTTCTCAACGGAACATTAAACATATTGATTTGGAATTAACGAGACTGATTCTGATTATGAGAATCCCTATTGTTACGGTATGACGGTCTTTAGAGGTTAATCGAGTCATTTGGGTAACGGCCCCCATTCTAATAAACGTCCCCTAATTCTAATAACATTACTAATGCTGGGAGCAATCTCTCTTTAGCTCAAAAACCGCGGATTTTGGAGCTAAAGAAAGACTGCTCGCAGGCTACCAGTGTAGCAAATTTAGTTTAGTTATGAACGGAACACGATTTGTTTTGTTATTTTACGCATTATTTTTGTTATTTTGTCCATTCAAGCAGATTTACCCGAATTCACAGCTTGAAGCTGAACACTTTGGAGATCGATTTCAATGATAAAAATAATAAGCTCCCTGCATGTGCCGGCGAAATAAGCTCTGTGTCTGCAATGAACGGCTTCCCTTGGGATGCTAAAACTTCATTAATAAGGGCTTCACTTGATGTTTGCGATAACTTAAATGTTGGTCACTACTAATTTCTCGGTTTCTTATAGTAAACTAAGGCACAAAACTTCGTTTAGCCCTAAGGGGTGTATATGTACTCCCGTAAATGGCGTATATGGGGAGGTGCTATCGGATAGTATAGTTTTTGGCCTCTCTGTCCTAAACAGGCTATATAATTTTACTCCGTTCTGAGCCCGGTCTAAACAGGATATTGTTACGCAATTGTCTTCGCCGACTAAATCCAATGGTTTATACTGTGTAATAGTAGTCCGAAAATGTTGTCGATTTATCATTGACGAAAACCCTGCGGGAAAAAGAAAAGAAAAATAAATAGCATGACAAGTAATTAAAACATCCGGCGCTAATTGAAAAGTGAATTTGCATGCCAACTATCAATTGAACACGCTAAAAACCTTTCTTGGCTTGGATTGTTTGAGGGAATTTGGTATTGAAACTGTGTGTATGTATACTTAAATATGTATACTAAAACTACCCAATATTACTTTGAAAAAGCTTTGAAATATCAGCAAAATCTTGCATTTTTTTAACCTTATTTTTCCTCGTCTTGTCTTGAATTAATTCTTAATTGTTTACTTTACATTCCTAGAAACAAATACGAAAGCTCGAATCAATTATTGAGCACAACCCATTAAGCAGAAAAGTAGTATCTCTACCCAGATTCGGTGCAATTATGTTTTACGAACGAAAGGTTCACAAAACAATAGCCTTCAAGACTTTAATACGCAACTAACACGTCAGAAGATGTAGGTCGTTAGTGCTGTCATCTAATGATTTATGAGCTGCCAAAGCGTGCCAGTCAAATAAATTCCTTGTGTTTTAATAGCAATGTAAAAGTTACCACCATTGTATATATATCTATATACCCACTCTTTAAAGTGAGGTTGTGATCACCGGCAGGTGCTTTTTATATCAAATAACACCGTGCTGACTCTGAAAATGACTTGGGTCTGTATTTAGATATTGTTCGCTGATTTGCTTAAACTTATTAGTTGAACCGAAGCGGAAGATCGTTTCAGCTTAGAACACAAACGTGACGTATTGACAATATCGGGCTGATATGATTGGACGAAAGGACCACAGCTGCAAGTCCTTTATTTGCTTTAAAAAGTGAAATGTGTTATAGTTGGTTATATCTCCTTACATGCCTTTTTGGTCCTAAAACTCTCACTGAAGTGTGAATTGAGATAAAGTTGTCCGCCTTGGTGGCAAATTCAGTAATCAAGGCGAGGATTTAATAGCCGGCACACCTCGGTCTCTCTAAAAGGTCTGACTTTGTTGTAGTTTTTTCTTCGTTTGTAATTTTAAGGATCATTTAATTTTGTACCATGGCTGGATCATGGACATGTATATTTGTATGCGGATCGAAAAAATCTAAAGATGGCCCTGAAGACTTCCATTTCAGATAATGGGCATAGATGAGTGAACTTAAAAGAATCAAGGAAAGGAAAAAGCTTCAAGCGATAGTGGACGTCACTCGCACGAAACGGACAATAGCACAAGAACTTTCAAGTATTTTCAAGCAGTTTTAAGAAAAGCACTAGAGCACTGCTTATTTTATTTTATTTTATTTTACTTTTTTTTTTTTTTTTNGCTTTGTAAATAGCCAAGTGGTCAACCTCCCACCAGTTGGGATTTTTAACAAGTTGCTGTTTAATTCCCAATATTTGTTTGCTTGTACAGCTGTAGTGCTTAACACTTTGACATTTCAATCTTAAATAAAGTTATTTATTTATTTTATTTTATTTTACTTTTTTTTTTTTTTCACATGATCAGTTTAAAAAAAAAAGTCAATAACAGGAATGGCAAATTTAACCGTATCTCAAGACCTACCAACAAATGAATCAGCTGAGCAAACACAAGAGAATTCAGCCAACTTCATCGTCGGAATTGTGCTGCTTGTAAGCGCGTTCGTCGGCTGCAGTTTGGCCGTGCTAGCCCTTGGAAGAGACTTCTTTATCGGCAAAAATCCTCCGGTGGTTTTTGTGGGCGCTTTAGTATGGGTCGATTTTATTGGATTGCTGTCAACGGTAGTCCTTGTTTTCCAAGGCTTTGTAAAAGGAGGAGAATGGATAGCGAAGTCACCACAATGTAGCTTACAGGTTTGTAAATATGATAAAAGAGCGCATTTTGTTTTTGCTTTGTTTCGTTGTTTTTTATTCTTTTTTCAAAGTTTTCTTTTTTTCTACTGGTTCTTCCTTTTTTCCTTTTGTGTTTCAGCGGTGCTCCCCGTGCTGTTGGTAAAAGATGCAAAATTCTTAGTATTTGTTTTTTTCTCGGTACTGATCTACAATAAACAAAATATAATAATTTCAAGGGGCTATTCAAAGGGATTCGTAATTACACTTGCTTTGTTTTAGATCCGTACTCGTTATACTTTTTATACTTCAATCAGCGGGCATTTTTCACCATATTCAAAACAATTCAGTCGCCTCTAGGTCAATTTGCAGGAGCGTTCAAGCATAGTTAGTAGAGGAGAGGTTCAAGTTACAGATGTTAGCTGACCTCGATTCACAGCGCGGAAAAAATGACAAGACCCGGAGAGACGTTACTGAGGGTACCTCCTTTATACGAATTCTAGAGTTAATTCGAAGGCTGATACAATGGAAACCCGCCTTACGGCCACCCTGCTGATACGATCACCTCCTTATTATATCTGGCCACTTTATTCTGGCTCGAACAAAAGCTCTGTCAGTCATTTTCTTATTCAAAGAACCCCTTTAATACGGCCATTCCGTTAAGACGGCCGTGTTTTTCTGGCCCGTTGGTGACTGTATTTGATTCGAAATTTTCCAGTGAAGTATGAAGTTAATTGGAATCATTTTTATTTTCCCTTCACAGGCGTTCTTTACCACTTCGTTTGGTTTATCGTCAGGCGCTGTAGTCACCCTTATGTCTTTAGACCGTGTGGTGTCGCTTTACAAACCTTTCTTCTATAAACGACACGCTACTCCTTGCCTTACGCGGACACTTTGTATAATTCCTACGCTGTTTTGTATGACATTGGCAGCCCTCCCCTTCGCTGGTATTGGGCAATATAAGTTTAATCAAACTTCTAGATCTTTTTGTAATTTTGACTGGTTCCCCACCACACTCGCAGACACAGTTTACATCCTCGCTATAGCTGCATGTGGAGTACTTCTTATATCGCTCATGACGTTATCGAATATCGTCGTGTTTGTCATTGTAGTAAGGATACGAATGCGAATGGCCGCGGTTTTACCGTCGGAAATGAATGCCCGGCGCCGAGCGCGGAGGATTACTTTCTGCCAAGAGGAGCGCATGGCAAAGTTTGTGGCTCTGGTATCCATTGTTTTTCTCGTTACTTGGTTACCAGTAACGGTAAGTTCATGCGCAATATGTTGTCTTGGAAACCATTTTCATACATTCTCGTCCCCAGAGCCTCCGTTTCTTTTCGTCACGCGGTCGGCGAAACGGAGTAACGAAATTTTAAAACGAGTAGCACTGGTATGGAGACGAGAATTGTCGCTAGACTTGTGATTGCAAGATAATGCTTAACTCGTGTCTTGATTCAAAATCTTCATCGCATGCTCTACCTGCTCGAGGAATCCGAAGCCACGAGTAGTAATAAGGTATCGTTCATAAAATGGAGTGGGGGGATCTTTAATTCGTTGCAGCTCCAGGACTTTTTCCTATATCTAATGTAGGGAATGTGGCTACGAAGGTTAGTTGATTGGTTAAGTAGTGGGTTAGTCAAAGGGGCAGGCGGGGTGGAGGGGAGGAAATGAGGAGGTGAGATTTTACATCGCAGTGACGTTGAAAGTCCTCTGGTCATATTTGTGAAAAATGATGTGCCTTTAACTTGCTTGAATCCACAACTTCCACTCCAACCAGCTATTTTTTACTGAAAAATAGTAAATGTAATTTTGCATCCTTTTTACCATCTTTCCTTGACAGCTCCGCCTCTTCTGTAATGTATTCCGAGCGTATCCTAGCAACTGGCTAGACAATTTCTCCCTCAGACTAATTATAGTCAGTTTCTTTCTGGATCCGTTTACTTATGTACTTTTCAAGAAGAATTTCAAAAGGAATTTAAAGCGTTCCATCACTGACTTGGCAGACTTCCTCAGCGATGTTGGATTTAATAAGAGCCTCAAGAGACAGATCACACGAGGGGATAGTGAGGCCGGAACTGAAATGCCGGCCAACATGTCTGGGTTTGGACTCGGAAAGATTGGAGAAGCAACGGTGATTGAAGCTGATCAGCCTCGCATTTTAGAGACTGAAACTCCTGTCTCTAAATCAACAAGTTGAAAGATCTAATAGAAATAAAAATTTAAAAAAACGTGCGACGGACTCATTAATTAGCACGTTCAATGCAAAGCAGTTTTTAATTTGAAAGAGAGAAAAGAATAGTATCGTTCACGTTTAAAATTTTGAAATTTTAAAAAAAAATTAATAATAATGTTTATCTTAATAATTATATGTATTTTAGCTTTTTATCTTAGGAACTAGCTTATAGTGTAGGACAGATGAAGCTTAGAGTAGGTGTAGGTGTCATATATTAGTACGGACTTTTAGTCGAGCTAGAATACTATGACACGTGAATAAAGTTGGATTGATTGATTGATTGATTGATTGACTGATTGATTGATTGATTGATTGATTGGATGATTGATTGAATGATTGATTGGATGATTGATTGACGTTCTATAACCTTCTTGTACTCCTCCGCAAGTAACTCTTCCCAGAAAAGGATTCATATCAATATCAGTCATACAAAGTCTATTGATAATTAAAATAACCTAGTCTTCAACGGGCCTCCATCTCCGCATACTAGCACTGGAAAGAGGAGGAGGAGAGAGGGCCTGAATTCCTTCATTTTCCTTTCCAGTCAGCATCTGCACATATGCTCATAGGCTCACCGGTACAGTGCTCTACCAACTGAGCTATCAGCCCAACTGGTTGTAAAGATGTCGGTGAAATGTGTATGGGAACAGGGCTGTAGCTAGTAACAAGCAAACTGAGGCAGTCATCATAAACCATGCCTCAATCATAATTTTTCATGGACCTTCCCTCAGTGATAATTTTTCATGGACCTTGCCTCAGCCAAATTTTTTTCTGGCATCGGTCCTGTGGGAAATAACAAAATTAGCTGTTATGGTAAATGCAATTTCTGACAATTGAGCGACGAATTAGTCAGAAATTATTATTCTGACGGCGCAATGGAGAGGCACGCGGGGTGTCATGGGGCGTTTAGGGACTATTTAGACCATTTAACAATTAGACCCGTAGCCCGCAATAGCCCATGAGGCAAAGCTGAATGGGCTATTGACCCATGGCCCTTGAGGGTGAAGGGTCTAATTGTTTTAGTATCACCCAACTAGTCGGACAGAAAAGGCAAT